GATTTCTGAGGTTTATTTTCTTTGTTTGTGAAAACATTTTACTGAATTTATTTAGGAAAACTATAACTCTTGTTGGAGTATACCAATTGAGGTGCGGCCTTAATAATATCTGCCATAGGTAGAGATATTTCAATTAAATATTAAAATGAAAAAAATAAGGACAACGTTATATAGCAATAAATTGTCGCTGCCGACACTTGAGTTTGAACATAGGTCGCCAGTGAGCAAACACAGGCGATCCCATTATTGAATTGTCGATAACGTGACCATAGAGGAAACACATATGCAGGAAGTCACGTGACGTCTAGATTGATCGTCATTCTAGTCTATCCCCCATTACTATTCGGATCGTTATTTCTAGTCTATTTATATACAGACCGCTATTCGCTACTCTATTCACTATACTATTTCTCTATTCAGATCACTATACGGATTACTATTCAAGCGATTGTTATCGAGCAAGTACTATTAGTACAAGTGATATAAGAAGGCGTCTGACACCAGTATTGTTCAATGGCGCACTGTAGTTGTATTTGCGATTACAAAGTCTCTACTACAACGGCCATTAAAAATGTGACAATGAGTATTCGTTGGCATCACAAAAGTGTCAAACGAGTGTTCGTTGACATCACAAAATGCAACTGGCGAGAAGTCGGAAGAAAGAAAATGAAAAGTGTTATTTTACATAAAGAGAATATGATGATGTATAAATAGGTTTCATACCTTCTCTCAGACCCAGAAAAAAAAAAGCTATTTTAACTAAGATATTTTTCATCCTTCCGCGTGTGTATGTTGTTTGCCAAAATGTCGAGTTGAAAGCTCGTTAAAAATATACAATAATGAATATATTTAATTTCGGATTCTCAGAAAAAATAAGAACGCAGAAATAACAAAAATGGAAAACAGAAGATAAACGAAATTGGGGACACCTACATCTTTGAATTAAAAAAAAAAAAAAAAAGAAATGAATATTTATCTGTCAATGAATTAGACGCTGTGCGATGAAAATTTAATGCTCCGACTACAAAAAATCTATCCGACCCCACCATAGATAATGAAGGACGACTTGAGAATTTTCACTAACCTTTCGTACATGATAACAGTCGAGCAATTTAAAACTGTTTTTATTTCCTCTATTCAATATTTCTTGTATACACAAATTACTAAACCTGTCATCAGACGTCTCAAATCAAAATTGTCTTCAGAAGCCAAATTAACGAATTCAATTAAAATGACGATCGCTATTAAAATTCATGCTATTAATTATTTATATATCATTATTTTTTTTATTATAATAATTATTGACGTATAGTAAATAACTATCTTATTGTAAAAAATGGCTTAAAAATATTAATGGTTTAAAAATATTAATGGCTTAAAAATATCAATGATTTTAAAAAATATTAATGGCTTTAAAAATATTAATGGCTTAAAAATATTAATGACTTAAAAATATTAATGATTTTAAAAAATATTACTGGTTTTAAAAATATTAATGGTTTTAAAAATGTAATACCTTTACATTTCTTGCACGAAAATGAAGTAAGTTTTGTGGGTTTCCAAAGATATATGTCATTTCCTTAAAAATTCTAATTGACTGTTGCATAGGAGTGAGGTCTCTTGCGGTTGAGCGGGTAAAAGAATACCAGGATGAAAGGAACGCAAGAAGACTTTCAATTGCAAGAATTGAAGGTGTGTCGGTGTAGGTGAGCATATCAAACCCCTTAAAAACTTTCTTCCTACGGAAACCATATCAGCAACACCGAAATTGATGAAGTCCTATATACCACAAGCGGAATCAACATAGTTAACAACCACACACACACACACACACGCGCGCGCACACACACACACACGAATATATATATATATATATATATATATATATATATATATATATATATGCATTGATGTTGAATGATAATTAAGTATGAAAATGACTATAATATAGCCAAAGCTTCATCTGAACGCAGAACAATAAAATCATCCACTCGTAAGATGGCAAAAAATTAGGTTAAAAGCGTGCGGAGTTTTAAGCTATTTTCTGCGAAGGGCTAATTGGGCTTCCAGACACAAAACTCAAGGGATGTCTGATCCAGCTTAGAAAACCACAATGATAATTTTGAAGAAATAACTCTGAATTCTTTAATTCACTTCATGGAAACTTAAGACCTCACCTTATCTCGGATTCAGGCTATAAGTCCAATTCCGACCAAAGGAACGATTTGTGTCCAAAGTCCGATTTGGGCCGAAATTCCAATTCTGACCGAAAATTGAGTTCTTCAAATCACAAACTCTGCAGAACTTTGGATTCTCGCGACACAAAAACTCTCACTTTAACTCTAATTCTTTGAAATTTTGAAGAAATAAAAAGAATTTCCTCAATTCCGAAAGTTAAAGGGGGACATAAGATCAGAATTAACTTTAACTTCCGGAAAAGAGGAAACACTTTGGTTTTAAATTTCCTTAGAAATCATTTAATCACCAGTTACTTATCATCGCCTGAAGAAGTACAATCGTAGTATTGAAACATGGTAGCTTTTGTGTAGCGATTTCGACATGTTTTATTATAATCTCTTATAATAAATATATATATATATATGTGTGTGTGTGTGTGTGTGTGTGTGTTTCTGAACATATCCGTAATAATTTTGGATGAGGTTGTAATTACTTTTATATTGTTAAGATTGGATGAATTGTTTCGGATGTTACATATTAAGAAGTAATTATCATGCCTTTTTTATCTATTTTATTTGCTATCATTTCTGCTGTTATTAATGTCATTATCATTTTTGTAGTTTTTAGTTTTTGTATTCCTTTCTTTTGCGCTGTAGATTAAATACCAAAGATATTGGAGATTTTTAAAGGTGTTTTCTATTCATATACCTACTTCAGGTAAATATTACTTACTAATTCCTTAATCGCTACTATCCAATAAAATTTATCCAATCTTAAATATATCAAAAGAATTATAGATCTGATTAGAACTAAAAATGTCCATAACAATTCTGAACCAGCTATATATATATATATATATATATATATATATATATATATATATATATATATATAAATTTTCATTCAGTTCATACGTTATTTTTATAGATACAAATATATAAGAAAATGTTCTGTTTATAATTACATTTACCGTCCTGTATGACCAAGAAATTTCATAGAAAATATGTGTCCTCCGACAAGAATCGAACCCCTATCCTACACGGAATCGTCAAATTGCCTGACGTGCTATACTATTTAGCTACAAAGGAAGCGTCTGTTTAGCAAAGTCAAATTATTGTTTTTAAACAACATATTTCCCATAATTTTTCTCGAACGCTCATATCTTCTCGAAGCGTATCGTAACGTAAACAAATTACATCATATATCCTGAAATGGTCTAACTCTAACAATTATTTTAATATATTTTCTGTTTATACGTTATTTTTATTGCTACAAATATTTAAGTAAATGCATTGTTTATAATAAATGTTGTTTATATTGTTTATTATAAACAGAGCATTTACTTAAATATTTGTATCTATAAAAAGAATGTATAAACATAAAAATTTCTTAAAATAATTGTCGGACTTTGTCCATTTCATAATATATATATATATATATATATATATATATATATATATATATATATATATATATAGAGAGAGAGAGAGAGAGAGAGATCAAAGTATATAAAATATGTTACAGAAGACTGAAACCTTTGGTGAATTCTCTGGTCGTTTTTGCATAAGCATTTAAATTTATCGCTGATGTAACTAATTGTTTTAGCGTAGATCTCATCTTCAATGGATAATTTTAATTCGTTAAATGCATAATAAGATGCATTTAGAAATGCAACGTGTGCATCAGTGATAGAAACGAGCAAATAAATGCTATTTGAAGCGAAAATCTGAACCTAAATCACAAAAAGCAACATGACAAGTAGCTGCAATGTATTTCCGAAGAATGGAAAGCAATCTCAGGAAGATTTGATTGGGTATTTGTAGTTTAAGAGTTTATTTCAACTGTCGAAAATCTGTAGCAAGTTCCAAGGAAAGGCAAAGGTTGGGAAGGTGGACTCAGAAGGGCAAAAAATTGGGGAACGAACTTCCTGAAACACTCTACTTCTACAGGGCATTGGCGAAGTGGCATATATATATATATATATATATATATATATATATATATATATATATATATATATGTATGTATGTAAGAAACAACCTTTGAATATGGAGAAACTAACTTACTGACAGGAGTTGAATACTAGCCAGAAAGAAAACATATAAAGACTGGTTGGTGGGAGGGTAAAAAACTATATGCATAAAATGCAAGAATCTGAGTCGTAGAATTTGAAGCTCATCCGTCAAGTGCAGTTGGCCCTGTCAATCAAAAGCAAAAAGCCAAAATGGAGATGGAGAGGCGGAGCAAATCAAAGATAATTTATTTGCTTTGTATATCTGCTTTCGCTCACCTTTCTCTGTCCTATTTTTGTATATTTTCATTTTTTACAAAAATAAAAAATAAGAAAAGAAAATGGAGAAGTAATTTAAAAAAAAAAACTATTTTTACGTCTATTCACTCTTGTATTTTTCATGGTTTATTTCTTTCTGTTTTTTCTTTTTTCTTCAGTTTTCTTTCTTTCGTATTTTTTTTTCCTTCTTGTGGCGTGCGGATAGGGACAGTGGCGGTCTGGTTTTGTGCAATCAGTCGATGACTTTTTCTGTGACCATCTGACCACTAGTTTTCTCATTTTTACCCCAAAACCTTTTCAACCCATTTGAATTTCAAAACATTTTCTTTTGGCTCGTTGGTAATAATCTGGAAGATTGTTTTTTTTTTCTCTCTCTCTCTCTCTATCTTCTTCTTCTCACATCGTTCGCGGTTTCAACTCACATTATTTTTTATTTGTATTCCTCCACAAAATAAGCTTTTCAGCTGACAAATTTCTTCATCGAAAAATTTTGTTTATTATTTAATTCTTTTTCTCTTATTTACCTATTTCGATGTCATCTTCTCTTCATTCATTTTTTCTAGCTCTCCCCACCCACATCAGTTTCAATCTGTTTCCTGCTTAAATATTTCGTTACCTGTTTTTCCAGAATCTTTTGACTTTCATGCGTTTGTCTTTTCCTTCTGTATCCAAATCATCATTTTTTTTCTCTTTTATTCAATTAATTCTTAAGCATATGCCATATTTTGGACAGTATACATTTTAATTATAAATTTCCCCATATTTCGTTTTTTTCTCTACATGGTCACTCATTTCATTCAACGCTTTGTTGTCCTTTTCTTTCTTCTTTTCATTTCCCTTTTCTTTCTTTCTTTCTTTCGTTCTTTCTTTCTTTCTTTTATGTGTTTTTTCTTTCTTCCATGCTTATTTTTCCCTTCATGTTTTCTTTTGTTTTCTTCATTTATTCTCCTTCTATCCTAGACTTTTTTCTTTTTTTTCTTTCGTTTTGCGTATTTATTTTTCCCACAGCTTCTTAGTTCTTTCTTGCTTGTTTTTTTATTAGATTTCTTTTCTTTTTTTCTTTCGTTTTTATCCATTTCTTCATTCTTTGCTTCTTTTCCTTTCTTTCCCGATTAATTCTTTTAACTTGTTCACTGCTACTTTTTTCCCCTCCTCTCTCACTTATTGATTTTTCCCTAATTTTTCCTTTGTTTGTTCGATTCTTTCTTTCTTTCTTTCTTTCTTTCTTTCTTTCTTTCTTTCTTTCTTTCTTTCTTTCTTTTTCATTTGCTTTTTAATATTTTCCCAATGCCCTCAATACCTTTTGCGTTTTTCTTTCTTTCTTTCTTTCTTTCTTTCTTTATTTATTTCTTTCTTTCTTTCTTTCTTTATTTCTTTCTTTCTTTCTTTCTTTCTTTTTCATTTGCTTTTTAATATTTTCCCAATGCTCTCAATACCTTTTTTATGTTTTTCTTTCTTTCTTTCTTTCTTTCTTTCTTTATTTATTTCTTTCTTTCTTTCTTTCTTTATTTCTTTCTTTCTTTCTTTCTTTCTTTTTCATTTGCTTTTTAATATTTTCCCAATGCTCTCAATACCTTTTGCGTTTTTCTTTCTTTCTTTCTTTCTTTCTTTCTTTCTTTCTTTATTTCTTTCTTTCTTTCTTTCTTTCTTTATTTCTTTCTTTCTTTCTTTCTTTCTTTTTCATTTGCTTTTTAATATTTTCCCAATGCTCTCAATACCTTTTGCGTTTTTCTTTCTTTCTTTCTTTCTTTCTTTTCCATTTGCTTTTTTATATTTCTCCGTTCCTCGCAAAAAAATTTTTCTTTCTTTCTTTCTTTCTTTCTTTCTTTCTTTCTTTCTTTCTTTCTTTCTTTCTTTCTAAAATCCACTTTTCACTTTATAGAAATGACGCCTTTGTATCAGTTCTTCCCTATCACGGATTAACCTTCATTTTTTCTGCATTCACTCCTCTTCTCGGGTTTCTTTTAAAAAAATTGAAGTCATAATCTTTTTCCTGATCTTTCCTGTAACGCGCTTTTACTTTTGATTTACCTCCTTTTTTCTGTCGTTTTTCTTTCCTCTCCCTTCCTTCCTTTTTTTTAGCTCATCCTTTCCTTCTCTACAATCATCTCTTTCCTACTTTTTATTTATTTTACTTTTATCTCTCTCTCCTTACATCCATCCTTTCTCTTTCTTTCATTATTTCTCAATCTTTCTTTTCATTGTCTATTTCTCTCTTCTTTCATCTTTTCATTATTTTTCTCCACTTATTTCTTTTTCTCATTTTATTCTTTGTTTATCTCTTCTTTCTTATTTTTTTCTTCGGCTTCTGGTTTTTTTTTCTTCTTTCTTTTTCCTTTTCCCGTTAACTTATTTTCTTTCTCTCCCCACTTTCTCAATTTCTCATTAGTTTATTCCTTCTTTCTCTCACTATCCATTATTTCTTTTCGCTCCATCCATTCATGTCTATTTACTCTTTAGCTTTTTCTTTTTCTCTTTCTTTTCATTTTCACTGCAGATTATTTTCTTTCCGTCTTTTCTCAATAGCTCATTAGCTTACTCTTTATTTCTCTTTCCTTCGATCATTTCTCATTTGATTATTATTTCTTTGTTTTTCCAGCTTTTCTCTCCAACTTTCTCCCTATCTTTTTCTATTCCTTTCATTTCTTTCTTTGTTTGCAATCTCTTTTAGCTTATTTTTCTCCATTCTTCCTTCGTTCCTTCTTCAATTTACCTTTAGTTACGTCTTTCTTCCTTTTGATTTCTTACCTTTCCTTGTACCCTTTTTCTTTCAACTTCTTTATTTATCATTCTCTCCTCTTTTTCCATTTAGTATTTTTCTGTATTCCTCTTTCCTGCGTTTTTTTTCCATTCTCTGTTTTGCCTCTTCTTTCTTCCGCTTTCCTTTTTTTCTCACTTTTTCTTTAGTTGCTTTTTATCTTTCATTTCTCTTTTCTTTATTGTTCTTTAGCTTCTTTTTCTTTCTCTTTCCCACCTTCCTTCCTCACTTTAATTTAGTTTCTTTTTCTTTCCCACCTTCATTTTCAATTTCTATTTAACGCTTTCGTTCTTCCTTTTCCCTTTCTTTCTCCATTTTTTATTTAACTTCTTTCTTTCTCTCTCCCTTCTCCCTTACCCACTTTCTAGTTAAGCTTTTTCTTTCTCTTTTCCCTTTTCTCTTTCACCTTTTCAAGTTAGCTTCTGCCTTCTTCCTCTTTCACTTCCCCCTTCCCAGTCTGTAGTTATTTTTTCTTTCTCTCACTATCCATTCTCCCTTCCCTACATTCCAGTTAGCTTCTTCTTTCTTTCTCTTTCCCTTATCTCTTTCCCACTTTCTAGTTCGCTTCCTCTTTCTTTCTCATTCCCTTCCCCATTTTCCAGCTTCTAGTTAGCTTCCTCTTTCTTTTTTTCTCTTTCCCTTCTCTCTTTCTCACTTTCTAGTTCGCTTCCTCTTTCTTTTTTTCTCTTTCCCATCTCTCTTTCTCACTTTCTAGTTCGCTTCTTTTTTCTCTTTCCCTTCTCTCTTTCTCACTTTCTAGTTCGCTTCTTCTTTCTTTTTTCTCTTTCCCATCTCTCTTTCTCTTTCCCTTCTCTCTTTCTCACTTTCTGGTTCGCTTCTTCTTTCTTTTTTTTCTCTTTCCCATCTCTCTTTCTCACTTTCTAGTTCGCTTCTTCTTTCTTTTTTTCTCTTTCCATTCTCTCTTTCTCTTTCCCTTCTCTCTTTCTCACTTTCTAGTTCGCTTCTTCTTTCTTTTTTTTCTCTTTCCCTTCTCTCTTTCTCACTTTCTGGTTCGCTTCTTCTTTCTTTTTTTCTCTTTCCCTTCTCTCTTTCTCACTTTCTAGTACGCTTCTTCTTTCTTTCCCTTTCTTTCCTTCTTTCTTCAATTTTTCTTTAGATATTTTTCTTCCTTTATGATTTTTCAATCTTTCTTTAACGTCTTTTCTTTCTATTATGATTTTTCAATTTTTTACCTTCTTTCTTTCCTTTTTTCTAAGCTTCTTTTCGCTTTCTTTTTTTCCTTTTCTTTCTTAATTACTTGTTATATTCCGTTTCTTTACATCATGTTTTAATCAACTTATGGATAGTCCTGCTATATCTCTCAGTGTTCTCATCTATTTTTCTTTTACTTAATTCTTTATTACACTATATTTTCTTCCTACCATATTTTTTTTTAATTTTCCGTTTTCCCGCTCGTTTCAACCTCCAATGCTTTTTTCGCTTTTTCCCCCCTTTTCCTTCTCCCCACTTCCCATCATTTAGATTTTTCCCTCACTTCTATATTATTTCAGCAACGTTCTCCATTTGCAGACGACTTTTTTTCGTTTTCACTTTCCTTTTGCCAAAACCGCTTCCTTTCATATTTTCTTTCCATGCAGTTGAAAACACAAACAAAATACTTTTTTTTTTCTAATATAAAAAATGTTTCCCCTTACCGTATCCTTCTCATCTTCCCTTCGCTTTGTCTTACAAAGTCATTAGGTGAAGAAAGACAATACGTGAATTGCAACAAGCTGTCAAAAACAACGCAAGATGATCCTGAAGATATGCCGGGTAGGAAGCGGCAAGTGAAGGTTTCAAAGTTCTTCCTGATGCCTTCTGCCAGTTTCTGTCAGGTAAAATAACTGCTCACAGAATTGCCACAAGAGGCTCGAGGGCAGTACGCACCACGGTGAGGTGACAGGCGTTTGGGGTTCTGAAGGTACTTGCCGATTGCAATGATAACAGCCGCTTCACTGGTGATTACGAAGAAAGAAGGAAAGAAAGAAACAAACAAATAAAGGAAGAAATATATTATTAGTAGACTGTAAAAAAAAGAAAGAACGAAACAAAGGAAAATGGTGACAAATAGATTGAAAAAAGAAAGAAAGAAAGAAAGAAAGAAAGAAAGAAAGAAAGAAAGAAAAAAGAAAGGAATGGTAATGTGAAGATTATAAAAAAGAACAAACGAAAAAAAGAGAAATGGTTATGAATATATATTTAAAAGTAATAATGAATGTAAGAAAGAAAGAAAGAAAGAAAGAAAGAACGAAAGAAAGAAAGAACGAAAAAGAAATGGTAACGAGTACATTGAAAAGAAAGAAAGAAAGAAAGAATAAATGAATGAATGAAAAGGAAATGGTGACAAGTAGACTGAAAAGAAAGAAAGAAAGAAAGAAAGAAAGAAAGAAAGAAATGGTGGTGTTGTAGAGTGAAAAGAAAGAAACAGAAATGGTGACGAATGAAGTGAAAATAAAGAAAGAAAGAAAGAAAAAGAAGTAGTGACGAGTATATTGAAAAGAAAGAAAGAGAAAATGAATGAATGAATGAATGAATGAATGAATGAAAAGGAAATGGTGACGAGTAGAATGAAAAGAAAGAAAGAAAGAAAGAAAAAGAAAAAAAGAAATGATGACGTGTAGAGTAAAAAGAAAGAAAAAAGAAACAGAAATGGTGACAAGTAGATTGAAAAAGAAAGAAAGAAAGAAAGAAAGCAAAAAAATGGTGACGAGTGAAAAGAAAGAAAGAAAGAAAGAAAGAAAGAAAGATAAATGGTGACGAGTAGATTTAAAAGAAAGAAATTAAGAAATGGTGATAGAGAGACTGAAAAATAACGAAGAACGTATGAGAAATAGCGAGAATAATCGACAAGAAAAAAGGAAATTAAAGAAAAATCTTAATATGAGATATAAAGAAGAACAATACATTTAAGAAAAGAGGATGAGAAATACTTATATTTGGAAAAAAAAGGAAAACCTTAGATGAAAGAAAAATGACAAACAAAAAAAATAAAAAGGGAGATGAAGAAAAAGAAAACAGTAAACACACACAATATACATTATCTATTTTTTCATTTTTTTTTAATCACTTCGCTCCAAGAAAGGCGGGAATGGCACTAGTAAACGGGGGTGGGTACAAAGAGTGAAGGAGAGAGAACAGACTGTCTATAGGGGGAATGAGAAAAGAATAAAAGTTGAACGGGATTCAAGAAGACAGAAGATGGCGATTGACGTTGCATTTAAATCTTTGAAGATGGTAGTTATCAGGGAAGCAAGTAAGCGGAAGTGAGTTCCACTGTCGGGAAGTACGAGACAAGAAACTGTTGGAGTAGGAGTGACGGTTACATTTAACTATTTCAACAGTAAAATGGTGGGACCTAGATGCCAATCTAGTAACACGCTTAAATTCATGTGAGAGCACCAGGGGAAAAAAAACTCGTGAGAGCAATAGCCATGAAAATATTTGTAGAAAAGACAGAAGGAAGCCACATCACGTCTATGAAAATGTGACTGGAGTCGAGATGCCAAGTCAGGGTCGATTATATTGCAGATCCATCTTTGGATTTTGTCAAGAACCTCGAGATAAATAGCAAGTGCACTAGACCAGATATGGCAGCAGTATTCAATGCAAGGAGGAATGGTAGATTTTTAAATGTGCTAGATGCATTCTGACGAGAAAAACCTTTTGGCACAACACAGTGGTCCAACTTAGCTTGCAGTCGATGCAGCTGTTGATTTGATGTAGTCGTTCCACTTCAGGTCAGTTGAAAAAGAGAGGCTAAGAAGGCGTAGTGAGAAGCTCTCCAGGAGTCTAGCATTAGCCATGCTGATGGCGGACAGGAAAGTTTCTCTGCGGTGGTTAAGTGTGAGCAGTTTCGTTTTAAAGGTGTTAAAATTTACAAACCATTTTCTTCCCTAGTTAACCAATGATTGGAGGTCCTGTTCAAGAGCAACCGCCAGGTTAACTTTGATAGCTCAGACGGATTAGCTACTGAGGCAGGAGTAAATTGTTGTGTCATCTGCATAAATGCTTACTTGGAAACTGATGACATAAGGAAGATCATTGAGAAAGATCAGAAATAACGTAGGACCCAGGATAGAGCCTTGGGGACAACCACGTTTCGTTTGAAAGGATCTGGACGCGAGCCTCTTCAAAACGACCTTCATTTTACGTTTTGATAGGAACTATTGGATTAAATTAAACAGTTTTCCTGTAATCAATCTATCTATCTCTTCATGTTTATATATATATATATATATATATATATATATATATATATATATATATATATATATATCCATATATCCAGTAATAATAAAAGAGAATAATTTAAATTCTAACGTTCACAGAATTAATTCAAAAGTACGCTCAATGCCAAGAGTAGAGCAATAATTATTTATTATAGATTTTGACATGTGAGCAAAAACAATTACCCACGACAAAGATGCATTCTTGTTTCGATGCCTTACTTGCATCACGACTAGTGGGAACTAAAATTGGTTTGGACAATTCTGTTCACAAACAAGCCGCCTATGGTACGTCACTTCCTTAAAAATCCATAGGGAGATATACCTTAAGAGGAAACAGAGAGGGGTAAAGAAGAGGGAGAAGAAAGGTAAGAAGAGGGAATTATGAAATAAGATGATAGTAGTTTTGATAGCGGAAGTGATCACTAAAGTTTTTGATACTATGCAATGATCAAATATTTAAACTCCCACGTTAAAACTCAGAAATGAGAGATAGTGATTTTCAAAGCGTAGCTTAGATGTGGCACAAATCCAAAAGTACGGAGTACCCAGTGAGGATCGAACTCACCACTCAGTCGTAATTGTTCTAGTGAGACAAGCTTGCTAACCATTGCACCGCCTCGAGGTGCTCCGCAGAAATGTGAGATAGAGAATTTTTTTTTTGGTTCCTACCAGTCGAGATGCAATAAGTGGTTTGGTTTATTTTCTTTTACGGCATATCAACCTAAATGGGTTATTTAATGCCAACAACATTGTTAGGATAGATTCGTATGAATAGAATATGTATTCTTTGGTTTAGATTGGTTTGGTTCATTTTGTTTTACAGCATATCAACCTCAATGGGATATTTAATACCGACAACATTTTTTATTGGTGTTAATATTTTGTTTTGTCAAAAATCTGTTTCTGGTAATATTTTTCTTTCAAAATTGTATTGCTGATAATATTTTTTTCAAAAACGTATTGCTGGTAATAGTTAACTATTTGCCCATAGCTGGGACCCTAACAGGTGCTACTACCCCGGGTCAGTGTGGACCTGGGAACACCAGCAATTAAGAAGTGGTTCCACGCACCTCAAAACCTCCTGATCAGAGGCCTTGCTGCTGGACGTAGTTTATCGTCTTACCCAGGACGCGGATGTAGTTTACCATCTTATTCAGGACGAAATGCAATAAGACATCGAAAAAAGAATGCATCTTTGTAGTGGGTAATTGTTTTTGTCCACATGTAAAAATGTATAATAAATAATACGTGCGTGTGTGTGTATTTGTGCTGATAGATAGATAGATAGATAGATAGATACGGCAAGATTATCTGTAATTTTTTGTCTATAATGTCTATAACTATACACCTTATTATAGTTATCCCCTTTCTCTATAGCAAGTTTTTTTCCGAGATATTTACAAAGCCGGGAGTTGAAAAGACCGATTCTGTGAAAGCCAAATATTTAGCAATAATAAATGAAAAAATGTATTTTAAAACTTAACGGCGAAAACCCCAATAAGATCAAGAAGATAATAAAATAAACCTTTTTTTGTCATGACGCTTAAAGTGCTCTGTGTTTTCACCAAATATACTGAATGCCATTTACAAGCAAATAGACGAGATATAATTAAGTAAAAGCTGAAAATTCAAGTGCTAATCTCATAGGCATGGACATCTTGAATTGAAAATATCTCAGCAAAAGAATTTGTCAAATTTTCAATTGCCTGGAAGTAGAAGCTTCAAGAAAGTAGCATTTAAATACAACCATTAATAATAGGAGCACTCGGAAGAATTAAATGAATAGTGTTACATAGATAAGAAAAATTTCAAGAAACATCTTAATTATCTGAAAT